CCCTCGTGAGAAGGTACGAGGGGCTGGTGCATCAGCCACACCGCCCCGCCGGCCGCGGCACCCACACACACACCCAGGAGCAGGAGGCGGTCCAGGAGGGCGCGGGCGGTGGACCGGTCCTGAGGGGGGGGGGGTAGGGAGGGAGGGGTACGGGGGAGGGGCGGGGAGGGGCGGGAAGGGAAGGTGGTGCAGTTGGGAGCAGTAGCAACTGTAACGGTACAGCAGTAACGGTCATACGGCAGAATCAACAGAAATTCAGCAGCAGTAGCATCACGCCGACGAGCACCACGCAACCCGAGGCACCTCCTGCTTTCCTAAGCGGGCAACTCTCTTCTTTCCTTTCACCCCTTCCCCGACCCCTGTGCCTATTTCTCCTAGAACTCTATCCCGACTCCACATCCCCCGAAGTGGATGAAAATGGGAGGGAGGGGGCTCCCTGGGGCTCGGGGGCGTCAAAGGACGAGACACAAGGCAGCAGCAGTGGCAGTAGCAGTAGTAAGCTGTAGCAGCGCCATTTGCAACCCCTTTGCAATTGCCGGGGAAGTAGATCCGGAGCGCCAGGTCCGCAGTAGCAACGTCGCAAGCAACGTCGGCTCCGACCTCTCCCCCCCCATACACACACACACACACACGCCCTTCACCTCCCGTGACAGAAATTCAGGAAGAGAACCGATCCGTGGCTCACATTCGCCTCCTAGCCCCTCCCCTGTGATTTAGGGGCCCCCCACCCCCCCAAACACCCCCACCCCACCCCCCACGCACCCACCTGCTGCCCCAGCGCTACAGAACACAACGACTGTGTGGCCACATTGAGACACTCGAAAAAGGGCATTGTCAACATCCACATCTGGCGAATGACCTCGAAGGAAGCCTGGAAGGCCGAGCCCATTCGAGCGCATAACGTGGAGGCGAACAGGATCATACCTGTGCAAGAGGGTGGGGGAGGGTAGGCAGGCGAGACACACACACACACACACACCGTCACAATACCTAAACCGATGTTGTGATGGCGAAAGGTGATGAGGTGATGGACCAATTGGATGACCAATGAGGTGTCGGAAACGTTCCAGCCGTACGTTCCAGCCGTACGGCGACCCCCGGCGTTGTGTATGTGTGCGCGTGTATCCCTTCCCCCCCTCCGCCCCCCCCTAAATAGACCGTCTGTTCAGGAGTCCCATTGCGTTCACTGCTTACAAAACACATTAACCAACCGTCAAAACCGACAAAACCGCTAACAGTCTGCCGTACTCACCAAAGGACACCATGTTCCTTGCCCCCAGTACGAATCCCCGTTGCAGAATCGGCAGTATTGCGGATAGCGGCGGCGGTGATGCCAGGTGGCGGAGGCGCAGCTTCCCTCCCCGGATCAATATCCCCATCATGACGCAGCAGGAGGAGACGGAGGCGAGGGCGGCGGCGGCGGCGGCGCCTTCTACACCCAACTGCAGGACTACAGCACGTATGTATGTATGTATGTGTGCGGGAAAGACGGAAGGGAGGGAATCACAAGCAAAAAGGAAACAATTAAATGCGGTGGTTGTGTGGGGTCGGGGGTTGGGGGGTTGGGGGTGGGGTCATATGCACGGTGATGTGAAGGGCAAATTGCCGATGTCCCAAGCGGCGGGCCTGTGACCCCATTACATAGAACGCACGACATAATACATTTCCAGCACCACACCAGTCCTTGAAATGCGGTAAGCCCTAGTTTCAAAAGCTTTGGGGGAATTGATACAAGTATTTCCTAAAATGGGTTCGAAGCTAAGCACAATATAGG